CAAAAAACCTTAAAGAAATCCTGGTGCACAGTAACCTTGAAAAAAAACAAAATGATACTCCAGGCACTCACACATGCAAGCAAAACAGGTGTGTTACCTGTTCACATATAAACAGCACCACACATATACGAGGAAAGAACCAAAATTTCGACATAAGGCAGTCCTTTGCATATACCAATGAATGTATCATTTACTGTATAATTTGTAAAAGATGCAATAGTTTATACATTCGACACACAGGTCGCCGACTCGGTGAACGAGCACGAGAAAATCTAAATTATATTAAACTGCAGAACCAAGATATACCTATAGGTAAACAGTTCATCTCCAACAACCATACAGTTGAGGACTTTTCGATTCTTGGACTTATTAGTTCTCCAACAGACATTCACAAAAGAGAACGATTGGAAATGAGATTAATCAACAATCTGGGGACCCTACAACCATCTGGTTTAAATGAACGATTTTCATTTCTGTAGATTTCTATTTTACCATTTTTTGTTTAAATTTTAGTTGCTATCTGTTTTATCTTTTCATGATTTTTAATTTTATGTAATAGATGTAATTTTGCTTAGAATTCTCATGCTCAACATTCAAAATACAACGCATGAATTCTGTGCATGCGTCTTTGTTGTAAACTGTAAGATCTGACGAAGAGCATTAGCTCGAAACGTCATCCTTTTTTTAATAAAAAAATATAAAATTATGCTATAATATTTGCCTTGTTCAAGTAATAGATAAATTAAGATAGCACGTGTGATAAAAAATAACCTTTTGCCGATAGAAACACTATCCTTAGTAAGATCATCCACATATAGAGCCTTAATAACGTCACCCACCTTTGTAAAACATGTAGTACAGTTAAATATATAAAAGAAAACTATAAACATAAGTTGACAGAAGTTGAAATTTGTATGTAATTCTATGGAAGAATAGTAACATTGTCCGATTATAAAATCTTAGTAACACCGTCGACCTATAAAACTTTGGTAACACTATCAGACTATAGAAACACTGTCCTTAGTAAGACCATCTGGCGATAGAACGTTAGTAACACCATTCTCCTAGTAACATCATCCATCTTTGTAAAACATGTAATACAGTTGAATATATAAAGGGAAAATATAAACATAAGTTGAGACAAGTTAAAATCTACTTGCGGTCATGTGGAAGTATAGTAGCACTGTCTGTTCATAGAAACACCGTCAGCATTTATAAAACATACACAATATTCCTAGTAAGAACATCTGCTTATAGAAACACTATCCTTAGTGAGACCATCCACCTATACAAATGCTGCCCTTAGTAACAACGTCCGTCTATAGAACCTTGGTAACACCATTCATCTTTGTAAAACATATGTAATACATAAGTGAAAACTATATCAAGTTGATAAGATTAAAATGGCTTAATTAATGTTTCACTTATAAAGTAAAACTGTAATTGTGATAAAAACTTTTCAGTACTGGTAATTGTTCATCCTGGGTATAATGTTAAACTGCATCTAGCAGTAGGACAGTCAACTGTGACTGTAACAGTGAGAAAAGTACTCTCTAGCAGCTGTAGTCTCTGGGTCACCTTTAGGCAAGGCATAACACCCATTAGCTTCCCTTACCAGGGTCACAGTTGAAGCTTTGATGTCGTGTCACTCTTCACCAAAGTCCCCGCCAATGAAGCTTGCAATATTGCACTCAACCTCTACATTAATGACCCC